ATGTTATTACAATGTTTAGAAATTTTAACTTTTCTACTTCCAGCCCATGTCAACGATGTGTAAATTTTATGTCATTACATATTTTTTCATATCCTACATAAACAAACAACTGAAATATAATTAAATAAAAGAGTATTTAAATTAGCTGGATTATTTTTTCTTAAACACTAATATTTTTCGACCTAGTATCACCATGAAAGTTTCAATAAAAGCTGTGATCGTACGTCTAAAGCTCAATATTCTTCAATATTTAGATTTTATGTCATTATAAGTGAGAAAATACGAATGAAATCAACATAAAAACACGAACATTTAATCTGATCCCTGGTGTTGTGAGTATATTACATGAAGGATATAAACTCCTAAATCCCTGTGAAGATTCTGGTACATAGGTGAAAGCGTTAGAAAGTTAACACTATTTTTGTGATTTTCGGAAAAAAATGGAGCATAGTCAGATATATATTATTTTTCTAACTAGTTCCACCAAAAAAACTTGAGCCCATAGTCTCTCCTTACGGTAACTCGCGTATTGTGAATAAATTGAACGGACTTTTCAAAACGGTTATTCCACTCGCATCTAGGCAACCATAAATGGGAAAGCACTGTACATTAAATAAGAAATAATTATGTAAATTGTACAGAAGCTTAATAGTGATAAATATAGGTTATTCCAAGGTTAATTGCCTTAGAATTAATCGTTTGAATTCATGTTTATTCAAGCATAGATTAAGACGTTTTTCTACCTTACCTGCCTTAAATATTCAAAGTGCCAATAAATTAAAAAAAAACATGATTTCCACGCACTATAGATAAAATTTCTCACCGCAGCTAATTAAAAAGTAATTGCGATTTGTAATCTTTTGAATTTGTCTCGATGGTACAATGATTATCGTTATGTTCGACGGTAAACTTCAAAATCAGATTCTTTTGTGTGGGAAAAACTTGCAATTTTTCTCTCCCATGGAAAACAATACAATTTCGAAACGTATCTGATTAAACCTCGTCGATTTTTTTTTCAATCTCACTCTACTCCTTCCTTCGACAAGCCGTCCTCCTTACACTTTCTTCAGACAAGAGATTCCAAATAGCAACTAAATTTTCCGCCTGGTTGTTTAATTGAAATTGGCCATTTCTCAATTGAAAGAAGTTTGTATCCAGTTGTTTGTTAGATAAAATTAAAAAAAAAAGCAATTATGTCCGTAAGCGCGCGCGTATGTAGGTCACTGGGACAATGTTTCACTTATGCTATGACGATTGGCGATTTTTAATTTTTGTAAATAAACGTTCAAAATGAACAATCAAAAGCAATAAAAAACAAAAACAAAAAAACATGGCAATTTTATAAACATTTCGATTACAAGCTATATTTTTACGTTCCATTTTTCAGTTTACTTAAGAAAAAATCGAACTACAAATTATTGGCCGTTGTAAATCTCTGGGGTATGGAATTATGACATAATTTCACACAGGTACTCAACCTTTGTAAAGTTCGACGAGAGAAGGTCGCGTAGAAGATTGAAAAGTGTTCGGTGATCACCGGCTTTTCTTGTTCAAAATGTAGTTAAATTATTTTACCACCGTTCGACCTTTCTCTCAGGATATAGTCACTGTCCCGTAAAGTAACAATTTTTCTTCGTCATGACGCGTCAACTACGGTTACTGTCTTTAATCAATGTGCAACTGGCGTCCCAAAAGTTCCTGACTATGGCCCTAGAAGCCGAGAAAAAATAATTATTTAAGTACCTTTTTCAACGATATTTTCTTTCTGTGTTGTGCATGTATTTCAAGGTACTATATATATATANTATATATATATATATAAGATGATTTTTTAAATTATTTACCGAAAATAAAAAGTAGGATCGTATTAAGTCGGTAGCGGACGTTTTTCGGACGAACAGATAGTTTTCTCCTATAATTTTTTTGAAAATTCTACTTCTACTCCATGGATTTTAAATTTGATACGAATTTGTTTTTCAAGAGAGTGTATACTTCAAATTGGAGCACCAAGCTTTAATCTAATTTTACTGTCAGCAATTTTTCAGTATTATTTAGTTTTTCAAAGAGGAGCCAAAGGTTGCCATTTTTCAGTACTATTTTCTCAAAATCTATTTGGTCTATCACAATCAATCTTTTTATATATATTCGCCTTAGTACACTACGAATTCGTAGTAGGAGGATTATTAAAAATGGCCAATCGTTAATTTTTGGGCTCAATCAAAATTGTGAAACAATTTTACACTTTTTTGTTTAGTGCAAAAACATTATTTATACACTCCGAGGTATTTTTTTTATATCAGCTCATTTCGATTCTTTGCCTTTGTTTTTGCTCTGTAAAATGAAAAAATAATCGTTTCAATATGGTGGTAAGTTTTGTAGATAAGTCTAACGGAAGGTGAAAAAGGTTCTCTTCCAGTATGGAATCGATAGACTAGGCTTCAGTTCGGAAGGTAATTTTGACAGAGAATATACATAAAGGACAGAAGTCTTCATATATAGTAAGATATGATGATTTGCGAGATCATCAAGGCGAGATACAGGAGAACAGTTGATTGGCAACTTTCAAAAAATTATTTGAACCACTTCCTAAGCTGAAAAGGCCAAAACAGTGTTTTTGGAAAAACAATTCAGATTTCTTTTAAGCAACATTGAAAGCTATTAAATACGAGGTTTCATAGAAAAACAAAAAATATTTATATCTGTGCTGCATTAGTGGAGGCAATTTTTTTATTCTTTGTTTGGTCTAAAAAATCCATAACAATAAGGAAAATAAGGATGAACTCAACAAAACCCCCATTAACGTATTATTATATATATCTCCAATTCTAATTTATTTACGTAAGCCAAATTCATGCCATTACGTGTAGGTTGGAGGATTCTAATCGTATGTGCAGTTTCATGTAGATCAGTTGATGTGTTTCAAAATTATTACCATTTTTGTGAGTTTTGCAAACCATCAGTGGGTTTTGAAAGGAGAATAATTTGTGCAAAAATTCAGTTAAAAAAAATATTTTTTGATTTTCGCTAAAATCTGTATTCGGACGTTTTTCAAGGTGTAAAAAGGAATATCAACTTTGTGTTTTGATAAAAGATTTGCTAGCTACTTCGTAGCTTAACTAAGTGGCTCAGTCTAAAATTACATTTGGGGGAAATTTTTTTTACGATGTCCAATGTTTCATTTAAAAAATTCATTACTCCTTCGCATTTTATCCAAATTAAACGTTATTGCAAGCGTTGGAAAGCTGAATATCTCTACTTTTACCCAATTTTAACAATATTTAGATTTCATGTCACTATACATGACAAAAGTAAGGATGTCACCTTTGACGTTTTACTTTATTAGCAATTTTAATTTACCTACGGAGGCCGAATTTATTTCATTACGTGTAGATTGGAGGATTCTAAGCGCTTGTAAAGTTCACGTATTGTAGATCCGAGGAAATGTTTCAAAATTATCACTTTTTTAGTGGTTTTCTCTAAATATGGTACGTATTAAAAGGGGCAAAAAATTTGAATAAAAAATTGTTTTTCCTGATTTTCCCAAAAAATTATAATTGCGGGTTTTTGAAGTTATAAAAAAGAGGTTTCAACTTTGTTTTTAGATATACAGATATTTTAACCTAATTTGGTAGGTAGCTTAGTCTGAAATTGTGTTCGTGAGCAATTTGTTTTTCTACGATGTCCATTGTTCCACTTAAAAAATTCATATCTTCATTGGATTTTATCCAAATCCTATGTTTTAACAAGCTTTGGAAAGCTGAATATTCTACTTTTAGTCAACAACGATTCCATGTCAATATAAGTGAGCAAAATAAGGATAAATAGAAAAAAAATTCTTCAATTTTTTTTTTAATCTTCGGGTATAATTTATTTACTGAAACTAAACGTATGCCGTTACGTTTCTAAACCTTCGCTAAATATCTTTTGAATCGGAAGAATAATTTCAAAGTTATCATCTTTTTTTTGTGATTTTTGAAAAAAAAATCATGCATTTAGAAGCGCAAATAATTAGGTTTAAAAAATTTTCGCTAAAATTTGTTTCGGGTTTTTTAAAGGACAAAAAAATATAAACTTTTCCTTGATAAAATTTTAAAAATCTCGTTTGCTACGTTGGTCGGTGTGAAGTTATGTGTTTCAATATTTACGATACCAATGGTTAGCTACCAAATACAATTTTGACCTAGTGCACGTGCGATTTGATATCATTTTGAATATTCGTTTCTTACCCAACAAAAAATGAAAAACAACTTTAATTTTTTTGCAAAAAAAAGCCAAAAAAGCATACTGTAACCAAAGATTTTTTTGGAAACCTCCTCCGGAAGTGCAGAATTATTTAGGTTGGAACCTTGTATAGCTGTGACCCGGCCTTGCGTGGCCGGCAGAAAGGGTACGTTACAACCATGACATAACAACTGAGGAGTCAGCGGTTTTTTTCTTCGACTAATCTCGGTCGTACCTCCCGCGATATCGTACCTTCAAAACTGCATCGCGTTCCAAAAATTTTACTAGTTCTGTTACAAAGGGCCTGTGTGCAATGCCGCCGGTTATTAGAGTTGTTATTTATAATGTAAACATTCGAGGTAACTTTTATTTTTTTTTTTAAATAAGGGAATTTCAACTACGAGTTTATATGAACTATCGGGGTGCCTGTGATTTTGAAACTATGTTTGTAACTATGTAGGGCCGCAGGATTCGAACCTGGGAACTTCACCTTACAACGACGAGCCGTGTCAACGCCTTAACCGTGGAATTACGCCCCATGTGGAATTATTAATAGTATCCCAGTATAACTAAGCTATTTCCAATCCTAATAAAAAATATAATTTCAAATAAATCAGTTAAAACTGTTCTCCTTTTGAATTTTTTAAATAATATATTGATATATTTCCCTAATACAAATTCAATAAATTTACAAAAATAAATAAACCAAGAAAGTACTCAGTTTATGTAAAAAAATTACTGCTTGGTTCAAAAAAGAAATGTTTATAAAAAATAATTACATTTGCATGGAAGAACGTTGGTGGCTGATGTTTCTTGCCACGCCAGAGTAGCAACGATGGCAAATAGGAGAGGTGTCACGAACATAGTGAGTGTTTTAGTCTGTTGTCTCGAGTCGAGTGTTGCAGATGTGTGAGAAAGAAGACTGCTTCTGCCGGTCGCCAGTTTCCCTTAGCCGACCCTACTTCGCTTCCTCTTTCTTCCCCTTCCACCTTCGATTTCCTAGGCCATCTTCCCGGCCTTTCTTTTTCTTCTTTTCAAATAAGTAAACCGTCCATACGTTCCCTCTCTACCTTTTTGTTTTGTTTGTTGTCACCTCGACGAAAGTATGACAGGGATTTATCGACGGGACACTAAACGACATTTCTGATGTTCTAATGGAGTCAGGCGTGTTGCAGTGATCTTTGATTTATTTCAAGATCTGGTTTTCTAAGAACTGTAATTTCTCTTTCAGAGACGCAGCTAAGAGCGAAAAAAGCTCCTGCTCAGCCAGCTCGTTTTCGACCGGTAACTTTGTTTGATACCACGCAACCGAGACCGACTCCAATTACCTCCAGACGGGGAAAAACGCTTTTTTGATGCACGTTTTAACAAAACGAAAAAGAACCACACCCTGCTTATACCCCACACGCTATCGAGACGTTTTTTCGTAGTTTTCCATAAGGTGAGAACGTAAATTTTACTATTGGTGGAAAAAATGGCTCTCTTGGCCAAATTAAAGTAGGGTGTTCTTTAACATTATCATATTGACACGACCTTCACCCTGGATATAAATACAGCATATGAAACTCCAGGAGGAACACGCATACTTGAACAGCAGACGTTTATTGGCCGGTGACATACTGGACTCGAGACAGAGCAGAGGGAAAAGAAAGGGAAATGTTAAATTCATTATCACTCAAAATCCTGTTACCCTAAGAAATTGGACCCAAAGGGGAAGGGTTTGGAAAAAGGCTGCCTCTAAAGATCGTAAAAATGAAATGTTTAATGGGACTCAACTCAATAAACATTTTTCAAATTCCTTAGTAGTTAGTCACAAAATGAGCTGTAATATTGTAGCTTTCTTTAATAACGGATGTGATGAGTCAAAACATCCTATGGATTCCTAAGAAGAGGCCAAGCAAGGCCAAGGGTAAAGCTCGAATATGCTACTTTTTTTGATTATCTGGGTTCATAACGACTGAAAATTCAACCAGAAGTGTGCTACAAGTTCTAGAAAATGCGCAATATTTGCATTTGGTGTTTTGCACTTTGATCTGGTCCCAAAGGAGGGTGTTTGGTTAAAAATAAAACTTTCCTTCGTTTGCGTTAGCACAATTGGAAGCCCTGCTTCACCCTGCTTATAACCCTAACGTCGCGCCGTCTAGATTCATGATCAATGCTTTGCAATTTGTGGAACCGTGAATGTGTTTGGCACGTAGTACTCGTTCCAAATGAGGGATATTGACTATTTTGTTATTTTGGTACTCACCCTGCTTAAACCCCTAATGTCGGTCTATCCGTTGGAATTTTCGCGGATTCGTTGTACGTTTCTGACTTCCCAATCAAACTGACTTTTATTTGATCCTAAAATGTTTAAACTTTAAAATATTTTTTGTTTAACAAAACAAAAACAACTTTTATGCCTTTCCTTTATTACATCATTAAATGTGAAACAGTGATATCGCGTATAAGAATCTTGAAAATCTGCTCTTTATCGACATACTAGTTTTATTAAGACATTCATTAGACAATCGTATAAATGTTGATCGACAAACGTCTTCAAGGCTTGGCCTTACGAATAGAAAGATAAAACTGAAGACAGAATGGCGTCGTATTAGGTATTCCAACAATATTACAACTCCTAAATTCCAGCTAGTAAACTGTCACCAGGTAAGTGGCATCTGAGAAAACCCCACCAAAATCTTGGAAAAAATAACCTGACATTACCATGAGAACCAAGAAATGTAAGAATTTTGGGTAATGTCCAAGCAGATCAGCTAGAGGAGGAGTGTCCAAGGCTAACTATATGCCACCATGAAACATAGGATCTTCTATCTCAGGATGATTCTACACGAAGTAAAAGGAGAAATGGCAAACTCTAGAGGTGCTGGACAACCACATTTTTATGTTTTTACGATGAGAAGGAAGGACTTGCGAACCATGCTATCTTCGAATACAATGCAACATCCCAAAAAAATTCAGCCTTCTACCTCTCAAAGGAAGGATCGATTGCCAATCTTAACTAAGCAACAAAATCTGCAGTACACGGAGAATTCCAAACCCCCGCTTCATAGTTTCCCCGTAATCAACTTGCTTAATAAGGCCAAATGTTGAAATTAAAAAAAGTCCGTTTTTTTAAATTATTTAAACACAGTACCGGAACATATTACGTTACTATCTAGTAACCTGTAACTACTGGGTCCCATCTGAAACCGTTTCGTAAAAAAATTAGTTCCTTGCTCAAGTTCACTGAAATACGTCTGATCTGTGCATTTTATTAAGATGCTCGAATCTTCGGTGCATTTTTAACTGTCCTTGTAAATGGGGGGGGGGGTCATAGGAGTTTGGAGGATAATACGAATTGATGATATTGATTTCGTTTCCATTCGGCTCGTTTGTTATTATACAGCTTACTCGCTTATCCTTTCGTTCTTTACCCATTCTTTCGGAGTTGAAACTAGCGTATCTTAATGTATTTCGCTCCATTCATGGAGCCTTGCCAGTTTATTGACAGTGTACATCGGAATTTGAACGAGTTCGAAAATGTGGAATTATGTAATTGGGTTAGGACCTTGTAATGTTCTGGCCTTGCGGGTGGAAGGGCAGAGGCTTTACTTTTCATAACATCCACTGTTATTTTAGCTTTTCTGAAGGCCTTTAAGGTCGGCTATTTCTTGCTTGATTTTTTTTATTTAACTGTAACCCTTCGTGCATAGAATGAATCTTGTTCCATAAGATTAAGATAATGAGAAAAGCTTCAAATAATTTGTTGAAAGTTGCGAATCAATCGTTCTGGTGTATCTTGTCTTGATGAACTTGCAACTCGCCACCCCTAAAATTTTCAAAAACTATCTCCCCGAAATAAAACATCGTCTATCAAATTTAAACTGGAAGAATGGGCCTATAACGTTTTTATGGCAACTGGAAAAATTTGAGCTCGATCAGAAAATCAATTTTCCTGAAAAGTTGTATTTTTTCGCTAAAATCTGTATTCGGAGGTTTTTCAAGATGTAAAAATGAATATCAACTTTGTGTTTTGATAAAAAATTTTCTAAGCTACTTCGTAGCTTAACTAGGTGGCTCAGTCTGAAATTATATTTGGGGGAAATTTTTCTTTACGATGTCCAATGTTTCATTTAAAAAATTCATAACTCCTTCCCATTTTATCCAAATTAAACGTTATTGCAAGCGTTGGAAAGCTGAATGTCTCTACTTTTACCCCATTTTAACAATATTTAGATTTCGTGTCACTATACATGACAAAAGTAAGGATATCACCTTTGACGTTTTACTTTATTAGCAATTTTAATTTACCTATGGAGGCCGAATTTATTTCATTACGTGTAGATTGGAAGATTCTAAGCGCTTGTAAAGTTCACTTATTGTAGATCCGAGGAGGTGTTTCAAAATCATCACCTTTTTAGTGGTTTTCCATAAATATGGCAAGTATTAAAGGGGCAAAAATTTGGTTAAAAAATTGTTTTTACTGATTTTCCGCCACCCCTAAAATTTTCAAAAACTATCTCCCCGAAATAAAACATCGTCTATCAAATTCAAACTGGAAGAATGGGCCTATAACGTTTTTATGGCAACTGGAAAAATTTGAGCTCGATCAGAAGTTGTATTTTTTTATATTTTGATTCACTTTTATCCAAAACTCTTCATCATATTGAAATGATTTTCTTTTAATTTTGTGGAGTAATAATAAGGCAAATCCTAGCAAGCAATTGTTTAAAAAAACATCCAGGAGAAGAGAAATAATTTTTTGTGGATAGAAAAAAGATGTAAAATTGTGTCACAACTTTAGGTTGATGCCAGAAATGAACAATTTACTATTTTTAAACAACTTTATCTACAAATTTGTATTATACTAATTGTAAGACAAATAGAATAAAAATTATGGACTATATTAGACTCAATCGAATTTGAAAAAAAGGCAAGGAACAATGTCAATTTATTCTCGTCTTTTCGAATTAATAACATTCAAAAATTTCTGAAATACAGGTGAAATTTTAAAGTTTGATGATGAAAACGAAAATAAACACTCTTTGAAAAAAGAAATATGTAATTAAATTAAAATGTATTGAGTAGAAGTGGGCTTAAAATAAGAAATGTGATAAAACACTATCTATCCGAAAAAAGATCACAACCCCGTTAAAGAATTCGCAGGTCAGTAAAAACAGGCAATAAATGATGAAATATAATAAACAATTGATAAAGACCCCCTTCTGTGATTCACTAAAGATCGTTAAAAAAAATCTGACTCAACTCAACAAACATTTTTCACATTCCTTATTTCTTTTTCATAAAATAAACTTCAATATTATCCCTTTATCAAATAATGGATGTGCTTCTGAATATAAAAATCCTATAGATTCCTAAGAAGAGCGTACTTGAAGGCCAAGAAAACGGAAAAATCTCGTATAAGCTATTGTTTTTGGATTATCTGGCTCCATAGCGAGAGACCAACTGAGACGACTTCAATTACCGCCAGACGAGGAAAAACCCTTCTTTGATGCACGTTGAACACAAAACGAAAAAGAACCACACCCTGTTTATACCCCAGACGTCACACTATCGAGACATTTTTTCGTAGTTTTCAATAAGGTGAGAACGTGAAAGCGCCTTACCTCCAGTTAGTGAAGTTTCACGCTTTTTTTATAATCATAACCCTTTATTTTACTATTGGGGAAAAAGATGGCTCTCTTGACCAAATTAAAGTAGGGCGTTCCTTAACATTATCATAGTGACTTCAGCCTGGAGATAGTAGTACTGCATCTATTGACTATTTTGAAGTTTTTGTTCCTCTTCCAGTTTATATCCCTGACGTAGCGTCAAATAGCTACGGTATTTTCCACTAGAGGTTGCCAATTTAAGTTCCACAAAATGATCAGTGCTTTCCATTAGATGGAACTGTGAATGTGTTTGGCTTTAAATGCGACGTTGCTTCATCTGTTTGTCGTAT